AAAAAACTGTTAGGTTGCCCAGGACTGACAAAAGATGGCTGAGGGACGAGGAGTGCGGAATGACGAGTTGGGACCAGCAGGGAGGGATGACGATTGCGATCGTGCACACTTGTGAATATTGCCACGAACGTCCCCGTCGATTATGTATATGAGTAAGAACGAAAAAAAAATCCGGAAAAGAAACATCGCCACCGTTATTGTTATTGCAGGGCCGGCGCGCGGCGGCCCGTGAAATTGGCTCGTCGAGCGCGCGTGCCACCCCCTCCCCCGATCGACCGGTAGGGGTATAATGTCATTACGGCGCACACCCCGGTATTATAGACATCCAATACCTGTGGTATTCACCAGAGTGTTGGCATCCATGCATCGTCGTCATTATACCACGGTCGAAACCATTATACATCCTGCTCCAGGTGTGACAAGGGCCCAGATACGTCGTATCTATAGAGTTTTGTCAATTTCGCCACCCCTAGTTAAAGTCGAAGCGACGGTACCCGTCGATAGGCGTTGCCCCCCCATTCTTAAAAATGAGTCATTGGTGGCTATCTGTAGAATATCATATAGTTTGCAAAAACATACAAAAACTCGACATTTTATACGTATATGGATACCGCGTGTTCAAGTTACTTTGGTCATAAAATAGTACTATACAGTTTTTTTTTTATATAAATACAATCACCTCAGTACATTATTCCACTTAGATTGGATGGCTGACAACTCACGTGTTTCCACTCGTGTGCAAAATGCACTTATAAATGTGACTTCCGAATTAAGTATAATCGGAGGGACGGAAATATATGACTGAATTCAGTTAATATTTGTCACGCACCCTCCTGATTTCTGGCACAAATATCTCAGTTTAAAATACGGATGTATATATAGGCATACTAATAAAAATATGTATATAAGCGGATGCTCCTTTCTCACCGGCGGTCTTCATTAGTGGAAAACTCAACCACACACTGATTTACATATTTCTAGTAAGACCGGAAATCATACTCGTCCCTATTGAATACCTGGTTTTTATTTATGTTATATTATACACTAATATATCATGACAATGTTTTTGTTATAGGTATAATTCAAATGCAGTACCTATAATTCGTGTAAAAAAATAATAACGTCAAATAATGACTTTCTTGGGCTGATGCAATTACAGCACAGTTAATCACCAGTTACCACACCACAGGTATCTACAACCGGTAGGAATAATAATAATATACCTATTTAAGTAATTGAATTATTAAAATATTTCTATGCTACGAATATTTCATATGATTCAAAATTCTGTTAAATTTTATGATTTAAAATAAAATTATACCTTATACCAATGTATTTTATCCATATTTCTTCTTATTTTGCATCATAACTTTCAATGAGTTCCATAATCAGCACCGTTTATCATATTTCCTTATCCTTAAATTTTCCTCTTCAAATGTCAAAACATTTTATTTATTTTAAGTACTGTTCTATAATTGACATTCCGAATTTTCTGACTTCCGTTGTTTATTTTATAAGCAATCCGTGTTGCTTGCAGAACATTTAAAATCTCAACAGTTGGAAGTATAGTTATTTCACATAATAATATAACCATACTTGGTATCGACTTGTCATATTATTTTTTCATCATATAATTCTAAGTTGTAGTCTAAGTCAGTACTCAGTAGGCATAGAAAAAATAGTCATGAAACTGTACCGACGCATATGTCGGTCGATACCTACCCGGTAATACTCCTCTGCGCCAGCTATTATATGAATCAGCTGTGTGCCGTACGATCGTTGCCATTTTATAGTGACGTGAAATACACTAATACGTGATGGGTACTTACATAATTTTATATGACATCGTTTGTATTATATTATTTGTAGGTCAACGCATGGACAATAAAACCATAGTCTCATCCATAATAATATTGTATTCACACGTTTTTGATGATTTACACGTGTGCCAGTATCGTAAAAATCATTCGAGTTACGGTATTAAAATATATTGTTGCAGTATTGTAAAACCCTCTCTTCTTATATATAGAAATAAATAATTGTAAACGTATTCGTTTTTTACCTTTGATTTTACTATCGACACTGTAATAAATATTATTGTCAATAATTTAGATTGCTGAATAGTCACTAGCAACATGCGCACAATTTGTACAATCGGTGTTCGATTTTCAACGATAATAACGAAAACTGGTAAGTTTTTATTCACCGAACTCATACTATATCTAAGAAATAATAATATTAATACCGTAACTCGAATGATTTTCAGAGTTGAGAGTAGTTCTAATTATGACTACAACAACAAAGGTTCTAACTAAGGTTGATGGTCCACTGTCAATGAAGACCCATGAAACGAACCAAGATATTAATTTTTTTTTTTTTTTTTTTTTTTATTGGATAACCCGCGGCAACATAGGCCATTGGGTGTTGGTAGGGAATTGTAGGTTTTTAGATTGGGTAGGTTGGTACACGTGTGTGTTTGTGGTGGCAGAATTTTTATTGGGGCACCCGTAGGTTTCTGCCATGCCCCGGGTTGGGGGATGGCGGCAAGATATTAATTATAATATTATGTTTACCTCAATTGATTTATTTGTTTAGTACATACAATATATTTTATACCAAATTACATTTTTATTAGATGAATAATAATTTTTATCTATCAACTCACATAGTATAATTAAATATGAAATATACTTCTGCACCACTAAACCTACGATGACAACATTAAGCACAAAGTAATTTATGATCTCAATTCTCAATCAATTTATTCTCTTGTCTTATAAACACATAAAACACAAAACAAGTATAATACATATAAGTTTATTACCTTTATAGTATTTTATACCTTTTCTACACAGCTCAAAACAATACGCACAAGCGTCAACAATTCACTTGAACGATAATGTTTTTTTATAGGTATAACAATTTGGGAACATATCGTCACAAATCGGTTAATAATTATATAATATTATTATTATATACACATGACGTGGTCTTAAGTATTAACAATAATATGATAATAATAATAATAATAATAATAATAATATTTGCAAACTGCCCAAGTACATGACAACATTTATAATATATTATAGACGGATGGCATAAAACTTCAAGTGTCTAATGTCAATAAAACTATAACCGTACAATTATAATAATTATTCAAATAAAAGCCCTACAATACAATTATCTTATGACGGCGAAGGCCAAGATAGGAAAAAAACATGACATTTAAGGCGAAACAATAATAATAATATTATGTCACATAATATACAAAACAGCAGTCACCACTTATTGGACTCACTTTGGGACCAAATCATAAGCATATTCTGATGTGATTCTATTAATCGAACGAGTCAATAACGTGAAAGGTCCAAGAATAAAAATATTTCTTTAATATGCATTATAGTTGTTTACAATTTGGCTATATTATGTACTTGTAAATATTCATTATTATATGTGTTTCATTGTAGGTAGGTATATGTATGTGGACATGTTGTCATTAATAAAGGAAAAAAGTTTTATATGCAATGTTGTTTTTCACTGACTTCAAATTATGTAAAAAAAAATATTTTCAATCCCGTTAGTACGTTTGTATTTCTATGATTCGAGGAAATAATATTAATCATAAAAATATATACGAGAAAATTGAGAAAATTTACTAACAAATGTGGGATTATGCCCTTAAAAATACACTATGACACCATTAACCAGTGTACTATGTGCTTTTATATTGTGTATTAATATGGGTAGGTATAAATAAAATTGGGATCAGTCTGTTTGAGTCCAATAAGCGAATGAGTCAATTAACCATGAGTCCAATAAGTGGATACTGGCAACTACTGCATTATGTTTCTATATTTTATAGTTACGATATAAATAAATAATTATCAGTCGTCCGGAAAAAACAACAAACGCATGAGAAACATACGACGTAGGTATATAGCGAGTTCGACGATGATAACAAAATATAATATAATATAATATATAACAACACACAAGGTATTACGTAATAATAAATTGTAATAATATTAGGTATAATGATAATGATAAAAATAATAATATTTAAACTCGCAGTAAATCGGTGTAGAAGCGAGATTATTATTATTTGGTCGATGTAGATAATAGCGCTATAACAATACTCGTGTAGGTATTTAATTGCCTGTTGTAATAATAATATGATAACAATAGAAATATACCTATAAGGCTACTTAAGCTTTTTCACGCTTTGTTTTTTGACCAACTATTTAGTGTTATACAAATAATAATATGTGTCCTGTCGTCATGAAAAAAACGAAAACAAAAAAAAAAATGAAAACAAATTAAATTATAATTATTAGATCTATATAAAAGCGTATAATATACTATTAGTTATATTATTTGCAAAAGTTGTGTTGTAGACAATTACCTTATAACATAACATGTATAATCAATCGACGACGAAGACCTTATAGGTCTTGACTGGATTCCAGACGAGCTCCGATTCACTATAACGTTTCTATAACATTATATTATAATATATCGAATTCGATCAAATAATATATATTTTTGTCATTTTATTATCCTAAGCGCATAACATTTGGATGTATATATTATACGAAGCGGACACAGATAGATCGTTTGTATTATAATTTATAATACGATAATATTATTTATAAGAGGTACGTTCGAGTGGAAAAAAACAAACAAAATATCATCATTAATGGTTAAAAAATACGAAACAGATGGAAACTATAACAATATTGTTCTACACTTAATAACGACGTAATTATTATATTTTATATATACGAACGGACGCGGGAATCGCATCAATAGAATATATTGGAATAAAAACTTAATAATGACGTATAATAATACCTACTATTTATAATAATAATAATAATAATAATAAGATTACGCGTATGATAATAATATTGTAATGAGTGCGGTTGACGACTTGCCTGTCGCGCACGACTCGGACCGAAACCGCGACCGCGGTATTGGTATCCGCGGTACGTACCTGCCGTTCACCGGCACACCAGGCTCTCGTTGTCGGCGGCGCACTGACCGTCCGGCGGCGACATGAACACCTTGCCGTTACCGCACACGCACAGCTGGTACACGCTGGGCAACTTGTCTTCGGCGCCCCTCTTTTTTGCGCCGACGATGGAATTCTGTTGGCCGGTCGACTTACCGATATCGTCCACGTCCGCAGCCGCCGCTGCCATGTTGCCCGAAGACGTGGTCTTGACCGTCTTCAGACCCTTGAGGAACACCTTGGCAGCGTCGATTTGTATCTATAACAAGATAATACATAACAATAAACAGTTTTATAATAAAATTATGTTTTGTTGCCGACAACGACAATCGAGGTTGGGACACGAACAATATTATCCTATATACTCTTGTACAGAATATACAGGTATAAGCCAAATTTACCACGACTTTGCGGTTTTGGCATCCCTGGATTCGGAAAAAAATAATATATAATATGATAATAATATCCTCTAAGTGACTTTGGCACTTCCTGAAATCCCTTAACGAGAAATATTCTAGAAAAATGCATCGAGATCGGGAATTCACGGGAATACAAAAAACCAAGGCTTGCATTTGAAAAAAATTTCGTTAATGTTATTTTACAATTAAAACGTTTCACAAGTTCTGCGTTTATCGTTATTTAGCATTAAAACGTTATACAAGTTTTGCGTTTACCGTTATTTAAAATAGTGTCAATAACTATTAAATTAAAAAATAATAACTAATGCGGGTATGTACTATGTAGTGGCCCGGGTACGGAATATAATTATATATATATTATATTATAATCAATTCTAGATTGTTTGCATGAAATAAATGTTTCTACGAAACCAATAGACTTTTTAAATAAATATTTTTTTAAATATTTCGTTTTGTGTTATTTTTTGTTCAATGATATTCTATAAAATATTACGTTTTGAGTTATTTTTCGTTTAATGATATTCTATAAATTACGTTTTGAGTTATGTTTTGTTTAATGATACCTATATAATATATTTTGTTTATCGTTATGTTTTGTTTTGCGGTATTTAATTGTTTTTGATTATCGCTTTCCGTTATAATTACGACAACAAACTGCAATCATTTTTTGTCAAATATAACGTTATTATAACGTTTGCAAGCCCTGCAAAAAACTTTCAAACATTACAATATTTTTCAATAATTATTTTTTGCTATTATAAACAGTTGTGAATAGTTCTGGAATGTATTGTACAATCCTACAATTTCACAGCTTAGGTTCATATACCTAGTAATTAGTATATAGCTGAATTATAGCTCCCCTTTTATTTTATTTATTTATAGATCAATGGTACCTATAATAAGAAGAAAAATAAATGAATAAATAGGTAAATAATGTTATTAAATACGGAATACTAGATTCAAGATTGTAAACATTAAGTGGAAAATAATTAAATATATATAGACACTTGTTTAAAATATTTGTTTAAAATTTAACTAAATATTTTGAGGCTCAGTCAAAAAGCTTGATAATTTAATACAAAACCCCACATAAGTAATTCTTATAGATATTTAAAAAAAATTAATTGTACACATTATAATAACGGACACATTTTTTTTATAAACGTTTGATGTTTAATTTTTTAGAATATTCATCAACGTTCAGAGAATTTTAAAATTATTTTGATATAAAATATTAATTTTTAATGGCTAAATCTTGGAAATTTACTTAAAGGTTCCTCATAAGTCATAAACAGTTTTTACTGAAACTTAAAATATAAAACACGTTAATTACCTCTATTACACGGTGTTGCTAGGAGATAAATGAAATCGAGTTGGGCAATCCACCTGCGGCGAGGCAGATAGTAATTTTTTTTTAATATTAACCAATTGAAGGCAGAAATAAACGAATATGTGGTTATGATTTTAATATTATCAATAGTGGGCAAACCATCCTAAAACAACTCGACAAATATACTATGCAAATCTTCATTGAATCGTCGAAATCGGTCGAAAATTGTCTATAAGCAATACATCAGACATATTTTATAGATACAAATTATTTTACCATTGTCGTATTTTCTTATACTATACGTCCCGTCAGAGATTCCAATAATAATATGGACACTTACACGATTCCGCATCTTTCATAATATAGGTATAGTTATACACGATTCCTCTTGGTTTTTTTTATTGAAACGTGGCCATTGTACATCTGTTTACTGCACTATTATGAATAATAATAATAAGATTATATTACAATAGTAATAAATCTACATTTGTCTTATACTTAATTTACAAAATTTAATTTATGATATTTTTAGAGTTGACAATGCTGCGTCATACGAAAAAAGGTATGTCTTAGTACCTACCAGATTAAAGCTTATGCAGTATTTTAAAAAATCTGTTAGAATTTCAAAATATATCTTTCATTATAAATAAATAATCCTGCAGAATATCAAATATAATAATTTAAGCAACGTGTAAATTGTTGGTAAACTAAAATCATATTTTTCCTGAAAATTTTGTTTTCAATATATTTTCATTGTCTATCACATTAAACTATTTTTAAATACTTTATAATAATGTATTGTTATTGTTTTTCAGTACATGGTGACATAATGATACACATGTACATTGGTGACCTTACATAATATTAAAACCTTGTGGAATTGTGTTTATGGAAATATTAAATATTTTGTGGAATCGTGTATGTATATAAGGTTATTAAAATCAACATGATTCCGTAAAATTGCGGAATCTGGTTGAAGTCTTTGAAATTCCCCAGGAATATTAGTCAGCACTCTATAAACGTATGATAATCTGTCTCAAACAATATACGACGCTGAAGAGGACGTCTCACCCGCTTGACGCTTATGCTATATCAGTCTTAGAAACGAAATTACCTACACAAAATATATATTATAGTGACATATAATATTATATTGTAGTATATACTATACTATAGTGTGTAAAATCAATGGTAAAACATAGCAATATTGCGTTAGAACCAATTTCGTCTTATTAGCTTTAATAATATAAAAGAATGAATTAACTTTTTATCAAACTTAATAGTAAAAATAGTAAATACCTATGTTTATACGTTTGGTTTTTTTACGATATTTTAATTTATTGACTTAATATGATTATTTTTAAATAGTAATATTTTACATACCTAGTAATAACCCACATAAAAGTAAAAATATTGTAAAAAAGTCACTTCACAAAAACATATTATTATATTGTTATTAAATTTAAGTTGAAAATAGGTCGATTTAATTTAATATTAAAGTTAACTACACAACATTGGTTCAGCTGAACTCAAATTGTCTGTGTTGTACGGTTGTAAAATCGGGCAGCGTTCATTTTTGATTTCAGGTATTTACAAACAGTTTGTGTTAAACTTTGTTTATTTTGGTCATTGGGGGCAAAATCAGCGAAAATCACGGAAAAATCACAAGATGAACTACAAAATGATATAATTAGATATAGTAAAATAAATTTGTCAAATGCACCAATTTATTAATATAAGAATATGGGTTTGCGATAAGCCAACGAAATCGGATGGCCGATGAATGTATAATTTATTTTATTACAAAACCTCTATGTTAAAATTATTAATAACTGTAGATTTGTTCTTCACCTTTTTTTTTTCATTAATAAAGTACATTTTAAAAAGAAAGTTTTACTAAAACACAAATATATTGAATTTTGATTTATAATTTTTAAAAGATAATAATTGAAAATATGCAAAAATCAGGAAAATAAAATTGGATCTAGATATTTTGTATCACCCATGTCCAATGTTTTTTTTCTTTGACCGTCTCATTTTATATTCATTATCACTCATTTATTAATTGTAGTACTTATTGTTTAGATCGTAAATTTCACTAAATAAACAAAATTTTTTATTTAAAAAAAAAAGGTATTTTGTAAAATCTCATAGTACCTATTTTAAAATATGTTTATAATTTTTAAGTCTGCTTAGGCATTAAATATACGTCTTTACAAGTCGTTGATATAATTAATATCAGCTTAGGATAAGCATTCATGCATTTTGTTTTGAAAATATTCAATTAGGCACTGAAGTACCTACAACAGTTATTTTCTATAATAAGAACGTATTTAAGAATCTCCTATGTAATTACCTATATAATTATGTATTATTTTATTGGACCGATTATAATCTGTTGTATAAGAATAATATAGTAAAAAAAAATCTAATAAATAAATACACACCGCTCCTGCTATCGACTGCAACTTGACGTCCATCAGACACGATACGGTTATGTCACCGGCCCTGGACTCGATAGTCACTCCTTGGGGACCACTCAGCTCTAGTCTCCTGGACGCTGACTCCAACCTATAATAATAATTATTATATTATATTATACTAAAAAATATCAAATTATTATTACACCGACAAGAGAGACGAAAATTATTATAATAGTTTACTACCAAAACGATTATGGCCAAATTGATGATCGCTACCTGCATTATAATATTAATAATATCGACTTAAGCATATTATTATCATCTTCCCTACGTGAATATTTCTTAGGTACTCCCTAGGCGAGGGTTTTATTCCAGATATTTAGAATATTGGCCATATCAGTCCTATTTTTAAGTTATAGCTCAAACGTTAAGAACTAAATTCCTACCTTATGTATCAAATTAGCTTGAGTCACTTGTCCTAAATTACATTATGCTCTTTTTCAATTAAGTGTTAATTTATGAATGTGTTACGGCTGAAAAGAGAGTTGCTACTAAATTTAAACTTGTTAGCTCATTAAACATTATTCTGTGTGCATATTAGGCCCATAGACAAGTATGGTTCTGCTGTCTGGGACTCATACTCAGTAGCTTACTGTCAACAGATAGGTACAACGCAAATGTTTGAACATTTTAGATTTCAAGCTGAAAACTAATAACCCATCGCATAACTATTAACAAGTGTTCTATAAGCTTCAAACCAGGTCTTTAGATTATCGACGACTTGATCAATGAGCAAGACTTTCCATAATAAGATTTTTTGTGGTAAAACATGATTTTTCTCCTCTCCTATAGTTCCCACTCTCCACACCACAAAACATTGCACCTATAGTATAACCTACCCCCTTATTTATTTCTTCGTACCCTACTTATTATCTGGGTAATGAGACAATAACAGGCTAATGTAAACACCTATTATACCTAATATATACAACTTCTGTACATTATTTGATTATATTAATAGTAATTTGTATATTTTGTTTACAATGTATATGTAATCGAGGAGTGACACCAATGTCTATTTAAAAGACAAATATATATATGATATTTACTCGTAGAAATTTGAATGTAAGTTTGTCAGATAATCGTGATACACTCTGTATAAGCATGAATTTCATTGATAGATTTCTTACCTCAAGTCGTGTCGAGAATCGGCTCGAACCATTGGCGTTTGGACACTGCCTTGAAAAACGGCACCACCGGAACCTTCAAGTAAAAGACAGTGTTATAGAAACATGATATCACTGTCGATAAGTTGGTCTCTATTTTAAGATTTATGTGAAGTTTCGGATGATTATTATATTTTGATTTGAGCCTTCGCCCATTTCCAATTATAAACAATACAAATAATAAAGTGTCTTACAGGATTTTATGAATAACTCTTTTTCTAATTTATGAATTTTGTTTGAATGGGATGGTTATTGGAAAATATTAAAGAATAACTACAAAAAACAACATTTGTTTTTAGATAATTTTAAGTATTTTTTTAATTTACCACAACTAGTAATTATAAGTGATATATATATAAGTACCATAACTACTGTATTTATTTTTCTTTTATGTTTGTTAATAATTTTCGATTTACCAATTCGTAGAAATGGAGGACATTTTTATTTTAGATTGTATACATTAGTTCTTATAAACGAACATAAATTAATAAAAATACTGATTTCTATTGTTATCTTAAAACACAAAATCATAGTATTTTTAACAACACAATAATTACAATTATTATTATTTTAAAAATATTATAATATTGAAAAAGGTTTATTAAAAATTGAATTGTTCATGTTTGTATTTTTCTCAATCTTTCAATGCAAATTAAAGAGTTTTTTAGTAAGTTCACTTCAAATCATTGAATTAGTAACAGGATAGTATGTAAAATGACAATAATTAAATTAATTCCATCGTGATTTAAACTTTAAATGGTAGCTATCTCTATTATTGGAAAATGGAAAAAATCTAAAATGACCAATAAAAACTGTACCCCTTCCCTTAATTGTTATTGGTTTAGGTTTTACCAGTGGCGCAACAAGTGGTTTTAGCCGATTATAACCCATAGAGGCTTCCTAAAAAATATAAATAGTTCTAGGTATTTTAACCTCTTCATACACATTAAAAATAATTACGATGGAGGGTCGAGCTGAATATAAACTTATCTCGATCATTCACCAAGAAATTAAGCACACTTTATAATAATAATAATAATATATTATTCTACATTACCCGTGACTCGAAGTTCTTGGGCACCGACTATCACTTTACTGCGGTCTGCCGAGAACAGCGTCTCGCCGCGTGTATCGGTCACTTTGAACACGCTCGCTTGTGCGCATTCCAAACCATCTTTAGCTGTACAGGGGACCAAAATAAATGTTATTATTATTAATATTACTACAATATAATATACGTAGTAAGTGATAATATTTATATTTTATCTGACTTATACGGACCGACGTTCAATATAATATTATTAACTCAGTCAGTATATTAATTTATTATAAGATAACAATATTGTATAATCAGTTTTGAGGCAAAATTAAAAATAATATAATTTTTATCTATTATTTCCATATTATACAAATAGATGAATAGTGTTACTGTTACACTGAGTTTCTTGACGTTTTAATGAATTGGTTTGTAGAAATACAGTTACCGTGATTCGAACAAAAGGAAATTTAAAATTTAAACTGCGTTATTTATAATATAAATCGATATTATATTATTAACGTATTATTACAGAAATAATTGTGGCAACGAGATTAATTGAAATGAAAAGCACGAAGTCGTCGAGAATTGCACAACGCATTATTATTTTTGACATACTCAAACACTTTATACTTTGAAATATTTTGGTTTTACATGTTGTTCACTTGACATCCGTATTGATCGTTTTTAATTTCTTGATTAATTAACATTTAGACAACCTGAAGCTAAGGAGATTTTTATTGCTGCATAAATTTCTAGCAGGTACCGAGTAATATTTTTTCAGTTTTCTAAGTATCGCTCCCCCGTTAAAAAATATACATTTTTGCATAAATTTGATTTATAATGTATACTCTTAGTAGCATTTTTCTTATTTTGTTAAAACAGTAAAAAATCAAATTCATCATAAATTCATAACTTACAAACTCTAAAACCATTAATAACACGCGTCACTATACAAGTGGGTACAAGTGGGTTTGTAAAATAAATATGAAACACTCGTGATAGTCTTGTCCATACAACGCAATTGGAAGTATATAAAAGTACCATATCAAATCTATTTTTAATTTGAATTTCTGAATATTCTACCTTAATAATTCTATTATATAAGCAATATTTTTGGTATTAAAATCTCAGCTACCGGGTGCAAATGTCTCAGTCACTGATTTATATACACATTGAAGCACGGGGCGGTGGTTAGTCATGTAATACATTGTATAGTACTCACTCAATTTGAGACTGTTCACCAGGCGTCCCTGTGAATTGCGAGCAGTCAACGTGACGTTAGTAGTGGACTCGATGAGAAGCGGAAGTCCGGGCCGAGAGCGTATAGCCGACGCCACCAGCCTGTTGGTGACCAATGTCCGGCCGGACAACCGGAGACCGCCATGTGTGATCTTCATAGATCCCATGCCCTCCTGCATCATAAAATAATCATTGTTAACAGTATTCGGTTGTTTCTTAATATGTTGAAAATTTCGATTTCATATGAAGAATATCTTGGTATGGGTTGCTATTGGGCAACTAAAATATTGTTGTACCAATGGAGTGAATTTCCGAGCTGCAGGCACGGCACGGGAGGCACGGTAGGTAATATTTATCAGGTAAGTATTCGACTTTAAGATAAAACATATTATACTATAATAAATACAGTTGAAGAATTATCGTGAATCGCAAGTTAAATGGGCGTCTACCTCAAAATATTTTTGTTTTAGTACGGAACGGAATGGGTTTGAATGTTTGATAGAGACCGCAGAGTAGTATAACTGAAAAAGCCCACAAAATATTCATAAAGATTTAGCCGTGATTATCATACCATGTGTAATGTGTTGCTCTATCATCCGGTGGTCTAGCTTAGGTAAGTATACACAAATTAATTCATACACATGGGAAACTACTACAAAATGACTACAACATTCACAAACATAATTTTTTATATAAGATTAGTGGAGCCAGGCGATCGGTTAATGAGCGGAAAATAAAAAAAAAAGGTTTATACCTATTGTTTTTGAAAAAAATAAATTACATTACAATAAATTACATTAATAAATTTATATCTCCAAAATTAATATATTTCTAGCTATCTATAATTGCTTACAAAATGGATTTAATTTATATTTTAACGATATGTGACGTGTGTGTGTGTGTGTGTGTGTGTGTGTTTTTTTTATCGGGTGTCTGTACCTATAGGTACTTTTTATAATAGAAAAATTTCATATTCTAAGCTTTTAGAGAAGTTTCTGGTAGAAAATTGGCTCTATACTGTTGGAAGGTTAAAATTGAAACCACAGTACTTTTGAAAATTCAATGGAAGAAAGTCCAGGGGTGGATAGACAATTTTTGGCCTACCTGAAAATTTTAGGTGAATTAATTTAATTAGAACTATTTATCTTAACTTTTTAAAATTTAATTTTCATTAACTTATTTTTCACTTAACTGATTATTATTGATAAAAAAAACGGGTTACTTTTAATCAAATCCATGTTACGTTAATTTAGAGAATACATAAATATTAAATATAATACAATTATTATTGATTATTTTACACCATACTATTGGCTTTTTATATAGGTATTGAAAAAATAAAAATAAAATATTTATAAGTGAATAATACGTTAATTGTTTTCATATAACTTTTAACTGAACTGAGTTAAAACAAAATTCTGATAAGTAGGTACCAATTAGCTTTAAACTTTTTAAAAGGTTTTCTAACAACTAAACTTAGCTCAATTAAAAATGATCATTATTTGTACATTCTTGGGTATTAGGCAGTAGATAACTGATGAAATGATGAAGTGATAACACGCTAATTTTACAATATTTTTGCTAGTTGAGAATTAAGTCATGTTTATTAATAAATTATTGTCTTATGATTTTTTGTTATTAAAATACCTACCAATCACCTAATTTAATTTTTATAATTAATTTTAAATGTTACAATAATACCCATATAAATTATAAATATTATTATGTATGTGTCATAGGGAATTTATTATTGTTTTTATTTTATAATAATAATTTTTTTTGAATTTTTGTTAAATTATTAGTATTATTTATAACTTACAAGTGTGTAAGTTATTTAAATTGGTATTCAGAGATATTACATGTTTTTGAACTCGTCACAAATATATTAACTGGTACTAGATCATACAAATACTAAAACTGGTACAAATTCACTGAGAAAGATTACTTTTAATAAAAATAGTGTATTATGCTGAATATAACTCTAAATTTTTTATAAAAATATTAATTAATTTAAGTTTTTAAATTCTAAATTTTAAAACAATAATATTTTATCCATCAATGCACTCTTAGATCTTAATTTCTTAATTATTTCTCGAGAATAAATTTTGTAACACAAATAACAGATCATACCCTTCGCAGCCTTAACCACTCACTACCTGTTGGTAATTCGTTATAGTTAGTGGCGGCGCAGCCTCAGCAGGCCAATAAGAAAACTTTTTTTATGTAAGAATATAATAGTTAGGTACCTAAGTATAAAATTATATATCTGTTAGAGAGCTTTTTATGCTTATTTAGACTAAATGTTCCTTCCTTCTACTCTTTTTCGTAGTCACTACTCTAGTTGGAGATGGTATTTTGCGTACATTTTAGTATTTGTACTTGCGCCACCAATAGTTACATTTATTCCTGTAAGAAAGCGATGCTTGATAGCATTGCCTAATAAACTACGTACATTATTATGACTAGGGCCCGGATTTCAATGCAAAGTGCATATTTTTAAAGCTAATAATAGCACTATTACGAAATTATTTGACAGATCAATGGCTTTATTGTATGGCCAAACGGAGTGAAACACGATAATTTATTTATTGTATTTTTTTTTAATATCGGTAAAGATTACTAGGCCTCACTGAGTAATAATCACTAGTGATAATGTTTTACTGTTTCTTCAGTGATGCAGCTCCGTACATGGTTAAAGCAGGTAAGAACATAAAAGCTTTATACTCGAAAATGGAACACGTCACTCGCCTCGCACATGGTCTACATAGGGTAGCTGAAGAAGTGAGTGAAAAATTTCCTAAAGATGCGCTTATATCAAATGTAAAAATTTTTTTTTTAAAAGCACGTTCAAGAATTTTAAAGTTCAAATGCATGGTACCGACTATTCCTTTACCACCTCAACCAAGACTGACACGTTAGGGTACTTGGATAGAAGCTTCAATATACTACTGTGAACATTTTAATTTTATTAAAACAGTCATTGATGCACTTGAAGAAAACGATGCCATATCTATCAAAAAAGCACAACGTTTAATGGAAGACAAAGAAATTGAAGCAAACTTGATACTCATAAAAGCAAACTATGGAAATATTCCAAGTTGTATAACACGCCTCGAATCATAGGGATACCCTTAACTGAGGCAATTGGTATTGTAAATAATGCGAAAACTTATATTTTAAATAATACAAATACAAGTTATCAAGGCAAAGCAATAAAGAAAAAATTTGAAACCGTTTTATAAAAAAAATGGTGGTTATACTACAATGGAAACAATTGCAAACATTTTAGAAGGCAAGGCAACTTCTAGTACAAAAATATCAGAAGAATTATCTTCAAACGATATTTGTCACATGAAATATGCTCCTATTACATCCGTGGACGTCGAAAGGAGCTTTTCCACGCACAAAAATATTCTTTCGGACGATAGAAGATCTTTGGTGTTTGAACATATTAAACAATATATTATTGTTCAAAGCAATGCTCAACATTTAGTAAGTACCATAGGCGTACTTAGAATTTTAATATTTTACATAAATTGTAATATATATTTTGGTATGTTTAGGATAAATAATATTTTCCCAAAAACGGCCAAAACATATGCGTGTCAACAATCAACATCATAGCAGTCAATATTTAAAATTTTCAGTTTTTTTAATAAAATAATAAATGAATCAATAATAATTATATAGCTGATTTATAAATTACAATTTGTGTAAAAAGAAATACTAAAAATATATGGCATTTTTTAAGGGCATTTTCGGCTATTTTTTAGAGCATATTTGAATGGTTTTAAGTGCATTTAAATCCGGGCCCTAATTATGACAATTCCTTGAGGAATTGTAGTTATTTCCTAAATTGCCAACATTTCGGGTAATATACATATTTTATTATTAATTAAAATATTACTCATTTGTACAAAAAGTACGTAGGTTAGTATATACCTACAACTGCAATTACCTTACATTTTTTATTTTACTTAATATAGATTTTAATAATTTTCTTGAAATTGATCTAGTTAAATTAACTTGATTTATGATTAAAATACATATGTATTTATATGAGTTAGTTTAAAAAAAGGTGGGCAAGTGGGTACCGCTCTGCTGTACAGTAGGTTACCAGTGGGCCACTGTAATGGATGGTGTTAAATTTGAATTCAATTATATAATATCATTGTATAAAAAAAACGATTCTGAGGGAAGATAGCGTATGATATTAAGTATATTTTATGAGAAATCGAGTGAATATCAAATGTTGTAAAAATATGAATTTTAAACTCACAAAAATTTAATTTGACTTTTTTGTAGACATTTTTTTTTTTGGATAAAGGTAGACAAATTTATAAGCAATCTTGTATAAAATTTTCAAATATTAGATTTAAAAAAAAATTTTCCATGAATTTCTAAGTTCGTACGTTGTGTAGTTTTTGAGTTACAGCGATGAGTGAGTCAATGGTATTTGGATTACGCTAGTACTTCCCTAGTTCCAATACTTACCCTATTTTACACTTTATATACATTTTGTACATTCATTCATTATTTTACAAAATATAGAAGTATAATCATTATTGCACGCTAGTATTAATAATTGTTTGATGATTATTAAAAACTAACCTATATTTACCATACGTATAAATTAGTCGTAAAAAACTAAATATTTCTAAAATAAACCTAAATTAAACTAAACTAAATACTAATTAGCTTTAAGTATGAAAACCAGGGTTGGTTTTTGAAATAATGTTTGTCTACACAGTCAACACAGTTTGACATAAAAATATCCTAAAATTTGGGTGTTCTTATGGTGATATCGTGACGAAATCGTCTGGGGCAGCGGTGCCAACGAGATACTATGTGTATATACTATAATATACTACTATTATAGTGATCTCACCGAACGTCTGCAGAACAGTCTTCCGGCCTAGAATTTCCGTTATTTTTGCTGTCCCAAACAATACAGTAATAATAATAATAATAATACAATGTCGTTTAACGATATCAAAACACGTATAGTATTATTATTATTATTATATCCTTTTACCCCATCAACGACGACGCGCTGCACGGGGCCGGTTTATCTATAAAATACATTATAATACTCAACGCAAGTGGGCGGGTACATTATGTTATTATAATGGAAACAATATCAACAATGATAATAATGCGATATCATAAATCA